GACCAGAATGAGTGTTTAAGCAGAAAATTCGAAAATTGAATAAAATCGAGATTTGCGAAAGAGATCGGTCGATTTAAGACGATCCTTAAATATTAAAGAATTAGCTATGAACAAGCCTTAGTGTGCACTCAGAGCGCATTAGTGCAAACAACCGAGTTCGCTATAAGTATATATTTTTGGAGTAATTTGTGCCGCTTTTTTCGGATTATCCCATTTTTATTACATTATTTCTAATGGCAGAGCTTTGGTTAATCCGTAGCGGATTTTCTTTTATTATTGAAAAAATATGAAGGCATTCTTTATTTTTATTTCTTCAGAGGCTAAAATTAAATCGAGTGAAACCGCGAGATTGCATACCCTTACTGCAATAACACGCAAATTTGTTTGTACAAATTCGTCACCTAATGTGCCGTCAACCTTTAAAAAGGAACGTCTATTTGAAAGATAATTGCAAGACCATTATCCCGCGTTGCGAGAGGAGTTTAGTTAAAACGAGATGCAAAATTAGTTTCCGAAAGACCTCCGCAAATTCACGGGCGGCTCATTCCGGTAAAGTCACGAGGCATTTAATCGCATCGTCCTCGTCGCGTCGGTTGTGAACTGTGGACGAGGAGAACGCGAGAAAGGTCGAGTGTGACGGTGAGGGGGGGGGGGATTAATTCCGGGCGTTTGTAATTCGAATTGAATTTATCACCGCGGAAACTATGAGGCAACGAACGGACAGACGGGCCGACGGAACGAACGAACGAACGAACGAACGAATGAAGGGGGTCGGCAGGCTTGCGGATGAATAATGGAGGCCCCAATGAGATTTTCCAGTTCGCCGCGGGGCACCGTAATATTAGCTTACCGTCGCCATCGCGACTCACCCGCGACGTGCCCGAAACGACCGTGGAGCGCACAGGCCGACCCGAGGTTTCAGGCTCGGCCCACCCCTGTTGCACCACGACGCTGTCGTGCCTCTCTCATCCCGCGAGGTCGACAACCGTCGACGGAGAACAAACGCGGAAAAAAGGATCAGAGTCAAGGTCTGTGTCCACGATACTAGAACTTAATCCAAGTTGTAGTTTCGAGAAATGTATAGCCAATCAACTTGCAGCTTTTATGGAATAGCTACACATTTCACGGAACTTGGGCCAAGTTCTAGCATCGTGGACACGGGCCTTTAAAGGGGATGAAAGGATTCACGCTCAGGTGGATTGATCAAAGACACATCTAACGATAGACATTTAAACCACAGACTGCTTATGAGGCAGCGGAGCCTTTAAGTGAGGGCGTCCTCCTGAGGGAAAAGGATAATATGAGTTTACTTGGGTGTCTATCTTTCTCTAGTAAGCGTGAATCAGAAAAAGATAGACGACTCAAATAAATTCATACTATCCTCCTCCCTCAGGAGGACGTTCCCGCTGTCTCACAAGCAGTTTATGCATCTAATAATCCACCAGCCACAATCGAGGGTTTTTCCTACAATCTCAATATGTAGAGCCAAGTGACGTAATTTCCGAAAAGACCGACTTGACCGGCGCTCGCTTTCGCAGGACGGCGCGTCATCTCGAGACGCGTAACCGGATAATACGGCTGGGCATTCCCATCGATCAGATGAATGGAGAGATAGCGAGAAAGGGAAAGCAAGATCGAAGGAGCGGCGGCAATTCGCGCGGCTGCCGGCGCTGGCGAGAAAATTGCTTTCAGCTCTGGCTTTTCGCGACACTTCGCTCCGGCCACCCCCGGGGGTGGAGGAGAGCGGAATACAAGAGGCCGACCCCTTAAAGAAACGAGAGACGAAAATGTATTTCCGGATGTATGCTGGCAAATCGAAAACCCGGGCCGGCGATTGTGCGAGCGCCTCCCGCTCGATGGTGAATGGGCCGTTCGGCTAAATTAGAAAAATCACGTGAGAGAGAAAGGGCGAGAAAGGGGACAGGTCGCTCTCGGTGTGGCAAGAAATAAGATGGCTCTGCGGTAGACCGCTGAAAGAGAAGGGAGGGAGTCGTTATCGCTTCGCGCGATAAATGTAGTCCTCGGAGATAAAATTGCGGCGAATTAATCTGCCTCGTAACGGATGTACCAGGGCGTAATGTTAGAGCGATCGAGAGAATTTATGTGAGGCGCGATTAGGAGAAACCCGTTCAAAAACGCCACTTTAGGAGGATATCCTCCGGCAGGAGAAGAATAATTTTCGGAATAACTAATTCAAATCGTTAAATTACACTTTACGTTGATAGACGGACTATTTCATCCCTTCCTAAAAAGGAGATGCTACCCGCGTGAATGTCATTTAAATATATCAAACAGTTGAGGCCTCTTTTCCGCCGACTTTCTTCCTTGCGCGCTACAACTTGCTTCATCCGTGTTATCTGCGGCTGTCAAGCCACGCGAATTTTGCAAAAAAAAAGATTAGAGAATAAAGAAACAGTTAAAGAAAGGGCCAGAGAAGTTAAAGACGAAAGAAAGAGGGAAGAAGATAGAGAAGGGAGGAAGGGTAAAAACAAAACTAAAATAGAAGAAATAAAAATTATCCTGATGGGAGGGAATTACTGTGAGGTTGAAGAAACATTCTAGAAATTAATAGAATAAGAAGAATACAGAAGAAATGGATAAAGATAAAAGAGAATAATAAACGTGTATAAATGCGTTGATATGTGCACAAATTCGTGTGGGAAGGCATCAGTGGTTCCCAGTACATGATAAATTGTATGAAGCGACAGAAGGGTCTTGGCAGAAATAGAAACGTCCGGCTCCAATCGCTCGAGTGAAATATATTAGTCATACAATTGTCCCGATTCATCGCGGTTGACGCGTCTTGTGTCATCGAAAATTTTACAAAACCCACGTAATCCTTCGTACCCTCGTGCGGAGGGATTTTATATCAAGCGCAAACTTTCGCTGAAAAATGCAAAAATAAATACATTTGTCCCCAGCAGTCGAGTAAAGCGTAACGTTGTCCGTAAATATTTGATCGTCGCAATTCGCCGCTCCTCTCGAGCTATATATAGAACGTAAATCCGTGACGCCGTTTCTCTCTTGCCTCCCCCGATGTAAAATTATTTTACGTCGAAAATAGAACGCGCAGCTTCCGCCGTGTCCACGTATATCTTGACGTGTGCCGCGTTTTTCAGGCACGCTGGCAACCAAAATCTTCCCGGAAGTACGAAAATCGAGTACAAATTTCGTGGTTATCAGTGCAGAGAAAGGTCTCCTATTACAAGATAGGCTTCTAATGCGAGATAGCAGGGTTTCACGTACAAATTCAATGATAAATCTTTTTTTTGCCACGATTGGACGATCTGACAATAAATTTTTCGCCAAACGGATTTCACTTCAGGAGCAATAAATTCATGGTGGAAGCAACACATAACGTCTATTAATTTAGCAGAAACCCCGCTATCTCATATTAGGAACTTGTAACTCGTAACAGAGGACTTTTCTCTATTAATAACGTTTCCTTCTTGCCTGGCGATCTTTCGCGTCTACAACGCGACTCCGCGTGTCACCCTTCTCGTCCTCGTTCCTCCGGCAATATTTGCATTGTTCCGGTACAGTCCGGGCTACCCTTACGTCCATCCCCTTTCACCGGTGCGTTGCGAGAGTGGAGCGACGCGCGGGGAGGAGGGTGCGCCGGGGCCCTCGCGTAAATCCATTTATTTATTTATTTATGTGCCACGGGGGGGCTCGGGCCGACGAGGGGGTGCGAGGCGCGGCTTATAGCCGGCGCATGCATCGAACCGGGAATCCCACGGGAGCGACCGTACGGGATGAGGGGGACGGCAAAAGTCACGGGGATACTCGACTCCGGACTCCTCTCCAGGAGTTCGCCCGGAATATACGGGGTGTTTACTTATTCGCACGCTTGATGCGTAGAATATTTTCTGTCAAAGAATGAGAACCTCTTCAGTGGCAGAATTTAAATAAAGTATTGTCACAATTGAACGTAGAACCCCAAACTCCAGATAGTATCTTCCAATTTTATTTATTCTACATTGGAATACATTCTTTTATCTTAGATATTATACACGATGCTACGCCTTATATTTAAATTAAATTATTGAAGCAAGTTAATACGTGGACAAGTTTTTATCTCGATAATTCGCTTCCTATTCTTCCTAATGTTGAAATAAAATAGGTGTTGCGCAAACAGAATTCATCTGTGCACGTGTGAAAAACCATGTAGATTCCCTTTCAAGTTTTTAAATTTGTTCAAAAAGGTTTGTAAAAAGAATTTGCTCTTGCACCGGTCTTATTCAAATAAGACAATTGAGTTAACAAACAAGTTTTAATTAAAGAATAAAATAACTTGGAAAATCTAGAAAGCAAGAGTTTCGATGGACTTGGAATTTTCTTCTCCTATCATCTTGAAATTTATTTCTTCGAAGCATTTCCCTGAAAATCGTGAGCGTCGTCCTCGAAAGTCTCGTTTGGATCTTCACACTTTTCCGTTTTAATTTAGCTGATATGAGCGTCCCGGGACCGATCACATTTTCGCAGGTACCGCGATCGATCAAACGACAGGCGAACACCCTGTGTAGAGGCAAATTCTCCCGAGGCATCGCGGCTTGAAACGAAAATGGTGTTGTGCCACTTAGACGCGGAGAGGATCTCTCTGCCGCTCGATCCCCATGACCGTGACACACCGCAGTTTTCTTTTTTTTTCCTCCTTCCTTTTCGCGACAGACCCTCGTTTTAAAGCGACGGCCGTATTACGGATTACGCCGTCTGACTCGGATTGCCGGCAGAGTCGATGTCTTTTCGGCGATGTTACGGTATAGAGAAGTAGATAAGATCTCGGTACGTTGACGGCTTACAAAGGAGGCTCCGTAAATCCGAGAAGAGCGTCGTGAACTCGGAACGGATACAACCCAAACGCAATTTTCTCCCGAGATGAATCAACATCCTCGATCCAACGGATTTATTTGTTCCGCGCATTAAAGTGATAATTTGTTTCGCGAAGGTGCGATTATAATACTTGGACTGAGACGTTGGCGTGAAATATGGTTACTCACCCAGTTGGTCATTTTCTGTCTGCGTTCTACGAGACGTTGCTGGAGTTTTGGTCCAGGACCCGAGAGGAAGGCTCGTACCAAGCCTCGGGTTCTTTCCAGGTGGCTCGGCGTGATGGTTTCGACCTGCGCCAAGTATTTCTGCAAGGTCGTCTCGAGGTCCGGAACCGGAAGACTCGGTAGAGCCTCCTCCTTCTGCAAATCGAACGGAAATAGGCGATTACTGCGAGCGAGAAGAAGGGGGCTTGAAATAAATTACGTTTAATGAGCAACGACAGACAGACGTAGACATTTTATCTTCCACGAGACGTGTGCGCACATGTATACGTATATGCGTTTCTCACAAAAGTATGCATTTTTAATATACAGTACCGTCCAAAGTTACATTACCTTTAGATTTTCTAAGCGTAACTTTCGTTAAAGTGCATCGAATGTGCTGAAAATTTTACAGTGGACACTTGACAACAGGTGCATCTTGTACGTGAGGGGTAACGAAATTTGACAAGGCACACCATGATTTTCCAATTTTTTATTTGTGCACTTTAAGCATACCTTTGAAGCATACATTTTTCCATTGAACTATTTTTTCTAAAACTTTGTATACGAGGATTTTTGGGGTCGCTGATTACAAATCCGTTATCAGATTTTCATAATTCACAATGGCGGATCTAAGATGACGGAATTTAAAACTTAAAAGAATAACGTCATTCAACTGTAATTCAACTATGCCAAGAAACATTATTTAGATATTATTAGGAGCCGTGCAATCTAAATTCCAGTTGAAAATTCTTATAGAATATAAAAAATAGCGCGCGCGAAAGAACGGATGCAAAATCGAAATTTGATAATTTCTTAGAATTTACTCATTCTTGGCAGTACTCAGAGCTAACGACGCGGACGTGCTGAGTCCCTAAATACCGTAATTAAACGAAAATGCTGAAAAAGTTGAAAACTTAAAAAATTCATGTATTTTGCATCCGCCATTTTGAATTTTGAAAATCTGACATCAGATTCGTAATGAGCGATCCCGATATAACCCCTTTGTACAAAGTTATCCAGAAATACTCTTAAAAAACTTGGTAAATAATGAATTTTTTCCGAAAAAATTGCTGCTTCTTCATATCTATTTATTTATGAAACTTTTACAATAAGTATTAAAGACCACTCAACTTTTTAAATGTTTTTTTATTGCTAAGATACCTAAAGAATGCAAAAAACCCGACCTAGATGCGTTAACTAGAAATTAAATGGCCAAAAAGTGAAGAAGTTGAGGTGGTAACGTGGGTTAACACCATGCTTCAAAGGGTTAAAACCAGTTATGCTTGAAAAATTGAAAGGCGATATAATTTGGGCCGGTACCGTATATATAACGTGTGTAAAAATGTATATATATTTTTTCTATTCAAACTATTTAATTGCAATTGGCGTAGCCGTACTTTTAATGCAAATGAAAAGAGAAGAAGATGAGAGGTCGGTCTCTCCGTTTTCGGGGGTTCAAGATATAACAAACATTGACTTCTATTACATAACGCAACGTCCGATGGTCGAAGTCACCGGAGGCGAGCAGGCGACGTGGAAAACGGTGACACAGGGCGGCCGGAAATTGGCAGATGGAAAGGGTCACGGGCGAGCGTGTCCCGTACCCTGTGCGCGCCGGCCGCGTATTCGTTGCCCTTTGCGGGGCCACGGCGATTGTAAAATAAAGAATCAATCGAGAAACGAAGCGTGCCTCTGGTGGAGCAAGGGCCCTTAAGGCTAGCACGGTTGGTTGAACGAAATCCCCTTTTGCAGGCCTAACAAGACCAACTTTGCGATCCGAACACCCTCGTCCTTCAGCCCGAGTGTTTCCGGCGAGCTCGCGCGAGAGCGAAAGAGACGAGAGGCAGAACGAACGAAGGGGAGAAAGGGAGAGACTCGCTGTCGCTCTGCGATAGACTTCCATCCCTTTTCGGTAGATTCGCGTGTTTTGTAGACTCATTAGCCCTCGGGCCGGCCATTTTCTCATAGACGCTCCTCTAAGCAATTTATGACACTTTAATTTAGCTCGTTAACACAGAAATATCCTCGACCGAGCGCAACACTGTAATGAATAACGTTCTTTTGGAAAATGAGGGGCCGGCAAATTGTCGCGCAGTCGCCTCCCTTTGAGTCTTGTCGGAAGAAATTGAGTTTAATTCGTCGAACAATCAACGTCCCGTCTAATTCCGAAGACAAATCACGTACGAGTAGGATTCAATCCGACGGAGCATTCGAGAATTTCGTACGTAGACTCGCGCGGAGTCCGTTCCAACCTTGCAAAGGTGTCGATTTACGCTACCCTCGGCTCCTCCAGACTGGAGGCTCCAGTATCCCAGCGATCCCCGAGCTTCACTCTCAGGAGAGAAACTTTCCCGTCATATTATTCCGTTAAATGGAGTCCTACCGTGCTCGCGCACGCGTCAAGAAACTCATCCACGCAAGTTGCCGAACGACTCGCGAACTTTGCCGCGTCGCGATCAAAGGGCTCGGCGCGCGAAGAGTTTCCGAGTCGAGCGAGCGGAAGGCGATCACGGATACGAAAATCATGTGCGAGATGGCCTTCAGAGGGGCGGCGGGGGCGCGGGTCGGGGGTGTGTAAGGTCGTTAGCGGAGTTTCGAGCGGTGCATAGCAATGAGGCTTGAAAAGGGGGCGGAAAACCTCCTGGGAATCCGGACACCCGCTATACGGGGAGGGCGGAATGAAACGGAGGGCGTGCGTCGCGTTGCGGAGAGGTAGGCTGCGGGAACGGGACAGGAACGACTGACTCATGCCGCGCCGGGATAATCGAACTCGTTACGATCCGGCTCCCCGGATTCGCTTCGTGCGCGGAATCGCGTATCGTTTCCCCGCGATGCTTGTATCGATGAATCGGGATTACGGCGCCCGATACAATCTCTCGGCGACTTAACCGTTTTCGGTTGTCTAAGAATCGCGTCACCCTGTTTTCCACGAGGACAATCACGGGACGCGGAGGAAAGTCCCCAATTATAAGATAGGCTCCTAATCTGGGATAGTGGGCTTTCGGCGTCCGGTTTCACAAATCTTCTTCGCAACAATTGCACGACCTAACAATGAATTTTCCACCGAACGCATTTCACTTCAAGGGCAATAAATTCATGGTGGAACCAACGGATGACGTCTACTACTTCAGCGGAAACCTCGCTATCTCATTTTAGGAACTCGTCCCATAACGGAGGACTTTTCTCTGTTCATAACGGTTTCTTCTTGCCCTATTGTGAAATAGGTGGTTGTAATGCGAGATAGCAGGTTTCCAACGTCCAAGTTTAATCATACATACAATTTCGAAGGAGTAAGCATTGAAGAGCCGTGACAGGATGTTAGGTCTAAATACTTCTTGTTTTAAATTTATTGCGAAAAATAAAACCCTTCAGTCGAGGTTTGAACCTGCGCCTCCTCACTAGACGTCTCAAGCAATTCGACCACCGAGGCACGTGGAAATATTCAGCGATCCTAAATCCTTTTTCTCGCGACGATTAGACGATCTTGCAATGAATTTTTCACTAAACATATTTCACACCAAAGGTGATAAATTTATGGCGGGAGATCGACAGATGACGCCTATTAATTTAGCAGGAAACCCCGCTATCTCATATTAGGAGTCTACCTCCTAATAGGGAACTCTCCGTTATTAAAGAAAATCCCGCGCTATGAAAGAACTGTACGGCGTTTAATGAAACGCCCAATCTCATGATGAAGACGATAGATTAGCGAGATACATCGACCCTATTTATGGGAATCTTCGACGAGAGAACTATGTAATTTTTCAAATCTCTTTGAAGAGAGACAGAGAGAAGAGGATGAGAGTTAGCTGTCGCGTCACGAGGACACGAGGCGAGAAAGGGGCGGCGGGGGAATCGAGGGTTGCGAAGGATCGTTGGGTACCGCTAGATAATCCTGTCGAGGAGTCAGATCGATAAGCGCGGCGACACGGCCCGCGAAACAAACGGTTCGACTCGCGCTCCTTATCGATGCAAAACAGCGCGGAGGGTCGTAGCAATTAAGAGATAACAAGGTTTCCTCCCCT